AATTTGTGTCAAACTAGTAATTGAACACATAATTACAGTTTAAATGCTGCAGTGGAAGTTTTTTGAGTTTACAACACGGGGTCACTTTAATGCTAGCTCCTCAAGAGAATATATATTAACAACATGATTGATTGTGCTTAATCACTTTAGATAGCAAATATTGTCGATTTTAGTCTATTTTGTCCACAAAAACTCAAGGATAGACTGTATTTTACTAAGATCATACCTTCAGCATCACATTAAATTACGATGCTCACCCTACCTCTTTCAATCAGTACACTCCATGGCTGTCGCAACATAAAATTCAATCTTTTTTTGATGTTTATGTTAATTTTAGAATCTACGGTAGGAAGGAAAATTCAGCTTCCTAGTCGCGGATTGCCAGAGCGTAGTAGCAATTGCGGCTCCGCACCAATGGTGTTGTATGCTAGTGAGGGTGTGATTGAGAGTAACTTTACATCAACCGATTTCTTGAAGAAGCAGCAGACGCAGACCTCATCTACGGATAGTCATAAAGAAGATAAACACACGAAAATCCTCTGCTATTGGTTAATCCAAGCTCAACCTGGCTATGGAATATTGACGCAATCATTAACCTTCAATTTACAAGATATCTCTGGAACTTGCCACGACTCTTACCTTTTTGCATTTGAGGCCAAACAAAATACTGACACACACCAGTCTATCAGAAACGTATCTACTCTAGAGGTTCCCTCTCTGGACCTCAGTAGAACTTCCCAGTTCAGATTACCAGCTCTCACGCCTATCTCTCGTGGTCGACGATATTGTGGATCTTCGTCAAACCCAGTTCGTTTTGTCTCTTTGACAAATCAGCTAATACTTGTGGTTCGACTTAAATCGGAAAAAGTAACACATGATATGCAGAGTAGTATAAAGTTTCGATACGAGACTAGGCCATTAAATGAGCTGACTGAACTGGCTAAAGTTCAACAGTCCTACGAGCAGGAGTCTAATGAAAAGGAAGCTAACAAAACAAGAGCCTGTGATTCAGCTGTGGAATGGAAGTGTAAATATAGTGGTACGTTAAACATGTTTACTTGTATACGTTTTTAGAATAGATACTAGATGTAAGTATATATGAGTAACTCATAAGGCATATAATGAATATAGCTAAAGGTATT